TAATTTCGCTCAGCATCATACGAGCGGTGAGTTCAACACTCTCTGGAGGCGTCCCATGAAACATTATCAGAAGAATCGAGGAAGTTTAAAAAATGATAAAACAAGATTTGTTTTTCACTCTCATTGCTTCAGCAGTCTCAGAAGAAGTCGACGAAACGTCATCTCATGACCTAAAGGCTGTTATACTGAGTATGAATTTTTCGGATTTGTTCACATATTTGTAGAGATTCAGAGTTGCAACAAAAGCACTCGACGAGGCGATGCTAGCCTTCGCCTGTCCTGATGTGGGATTCTTCCTGAGGGCTGATGAGAAACTGCACGTCAGGTTGTGACCAGACGCGATGAATGTTGTAGTCTTCACATGAAAATGAACACTTTGAAGGACCAACCCTTGAACATATCACTGTAATTGGTTACCGACCATCTCAGAGAATCTGATAATTAACAGACCGTTTAACTCAGATTTCCGTATGTAGCATCGAGAAATTCGATGTTCCTCCGTTCATCTCTAGACATGAAAATGATCAATGTATAGTTGTTTCCCGAAAAGACAACAGTTTAACTATGAAAGTTGGCTCTGGTCACTCAACAACTTTGTCAAGAGTTGGTTTCATAGAACCGATCATCAGGTGATTATGTATTTTGGAATGATCCATCGTTCTTGCATCTCGGAATGAAAAAACGTTGCAAAATAAGCTGTGGGCCTAATGTGCAACTCATAAAGTGGCTGAAAATTTTCCGACAGCCCACGACCGGTTTCACCCTTCTTGGGGCTCAGCAGGTAGGTGCAGCCCCCGAGTCTCTATTAATCTTATGTTCTACTGGAACTGAGATTACAAGAAATCAGAAAACAAATTTGTCTTTGCTGGAGACTCATCTGAAACCCAGCTGAATCTATCGTTTATGATGTTCTCGAGCAATTTGGGTTCAAGTAGAACATAAGGCTGAAGGAAACTCGCGAACTGCGACTATGTAATGAGCTCCGAGAAGGACGAAACCGGCAGTAGGCTGTCGGAGAATTTTCAGCGACCTTACGAGCAGGGTATCACGTCTGTACATTCATCGCGATATCTCGAATATCGTACCATCTAAAACATGAGGCGGCCTCACACAGTAAATTCAGTGGCTTGAAAACACTACAAATGAGGGACTCAACTGGGTTCCAGGTAAGTCTCCCGTCCAAACCAAATTGGTATGCAAATGGGTGTATTTCGCTAATTTTGTGCAATTTGGGTTCAAGTGAAACATAAGGTTGACGGACGCAAGGTCAAAAGTGCGCTTTAGATACCGCGATACCCATCGTGCTCGCTTGTTCGCAATAAAGGTGTTGTGTTGCGAATACTTTTCCGGCACTAAGGCATTGGAGCGGGGACAGCAAAGGCAGCTATTATCACTGATCGTGGCCAAATTTGGGATTTCCATCTGCATTTTGAACAACCCTTATCTGACCAGTAACGTAAGGTGGAAGTGTGCCATCATCGGGCGGATAGTTGACAAGAGAACTCCGAGAACAAGTATGTCAACTATATTTATCTAGTCATTACTACGGATGACATAATTTTGTCAACTTTCTAAAACTATTGAGTAAAATATTGGCTTGATCTCAAATGCCTAGGCATAAAAGGTTTTATCGCACCGTCCGAGATATTTGGAGGAAAACAAACATCAGAATCATATCCGTTCGTCGCACCACCTAGGCCACGGAAACCACTCTTTCTGCCGCTTACGAGAAAGCGTCTGGAATGAAATGGTACAAAACTCGGTCCTATTCTACATGGACATTCCGACTTGACCAAGTCTATTGCAGTAGAACGATGGGCAACTTGAAAATGGAGCGGCCGACTTCAAAGGCCTCTCACACCTCCTCAGCTAATAATACCAGATTTGTATGTGGTTGCGGAGTTTGTAGGAATCATATTCACATCACTCTCGTTTGAACAGCAGTACTCCTGTCCTGGTGCAACTATTTTGAGGAATCCACACCAAAGGAGAGAAGCAGTAGACTCGGGCGTTGCTGTTGTTAATGTTCGTCAGAGGTGCATATCTTTCCGTGTGCCGGAGTTTGAACTCTGGATATCTAACAAGCATGCCTCGCTCTCTCGGTAGGCTCATCCACGCATCATGAACGCAAGACGAGGATAGAAACACAAAGAACCGGACAGTAACGAATGGTTGGTGTTAAGCGTAGGCAAATCAATAAACCATCTACGCACAGGTTTGATGGTTTTTATGGCCCATCCCCAGAACTCACTTAGGAATTTCACGATGTGACAACGAAGTCGCTTCACATAAAACAAACAAAATCACTGACGTGAACGGGGGTGGGTACATCATGACCAGATCTTCAGAAATTCATGAGAACGCAAGAACTAGCGAAGAAACCAACAGCCATCAATGCAACCCGTCAGCAATAATTTCAACTATAATACAAAGGTTCAACTGAAGCACCATAACTCCGGCGACAGTATAGGAGTTCTAACGTATACAGAACCGCGAATGTTGGTACGGGCAATGGAAGGCAAGTCCATTATGGTATTCTTCCTACAATCAAACTGACTCGCCAAGCTCCTGAAAAATATGCTTTGGGGCACTTCGAGCTGTCAGGACAGCACTTGGATGATTATATGAGCTGTGTAAACCGCGCTAAACTTGACGGAAAGTGCGACTCTCACTCGGTTCCCGTAATGCATGCATCCAAAGGATTGGTTAGAACTTAGTCTGCCAATCATTTTGTTTGAATGTGGTTTCGTAACTTAAGCTGAGTTTCTGAAGAGTGGATTCCTCGCCGCTGCTTGTAAGTTCATACAAGTGGGATAAGGCTTAAGCTGCCACCTGGTTAGTGCACGACTTCAAACCCATCAATTCAGTCGATAAAAGTCGATTTCCCGTCACAAGTTCATGGGTTTTCAGGCAGTGTGGCTAAAACAACCACCTATTTGCGAATTAACTGGCATGAAATGAGAATTTGATGAACATTCCAACGAATCTACTCTGTGGATGACACACTATGCGTGAAGTGCAGAAGCCTCACCTGAGTTAAATTAAACCGATATTCGAAGTACAGAGGAACCCGCCTTTTATAAGCAAAACTTTACATATGACCGTTCTTAGATGATCTTACGGCGGATGTACGGAACCCGATTTCCTCAACAAATTCGCTATAACGGTCATTCCAGGCGACCATCATAGTTAGAGATAACATTCAACTGCTTGGTTGAATAGTGAAAGTGATTTCAAAGGGGCGGACCTGATGGAAACACTCGAAATTCGGTCAGTACACAACACTTCCGGAAAGCAAGCGAACAAACGGTCCCAAAGGCATTGATTTCTTATGAAGGCTATTGTATTGTACGGCCAATCCTGTTATCAGGCATGCAGAGAGAAACGATGTTGTTGAGTGCGAAAACGGCTTTTACTATTTGATTTGACCGGTTGACTTCATTCTACCAAAATTAATTCCAAAACTATTGTACAGGGATCTCTTACTGATCGCTCAGCTGTAGCACCATTTCGGTGCTTAGCTGCCATGCCGCCCGAAGGAAGCACAACGGCCGGGAACTGACACGTTCATTCTACCAAAATTAATTCCAAAACTATTGTACAGGGATCTCTTACTGATCGCTCAGCTGTAGCACCATTTCGGTGCTTAGCTGCCATGCCGCCCGAAGGAAGCACAACGGCCGGGATACTGACACGTTGTTCGAGCTTACACAGGGAAAGCCGGGATGCAGAGTTTGGGTTCGAACAGACCTTTCGGTCAGCGAATTCGTGCTCCAACTACTGAGCAACCTAGTGCACTCACTTTCTCATTCTATGCGTTTGGGGATTCGATCGGACAGACCTTGATGTACCGTACAGACGAAGCTGTTGCTCTTTCGTCATCCAAGGAGTAGTAGTTTAGGGAGAAAGTTATATGGGACGAAAAGAAGCCGGTCATATGTCATATGGCTATGTCCACTCCGTCTTTTCAAACATCATCACACGGCTTATTTGCGTCCGTAGTCGCTCTTTGCGACGTTGCCGCGCTTTGAAACGAGTGTGCTTACTGGGCCAAACGCGAATATTCCGCTCTCACTCTTTTCACAAATAGAGATTGCGAGATGCTTTACTTAGATGAAATGGTGTATGCGGAGGTGCGCTACTGGCCAGTCAACTGGCAATGCTAGTCAGCCCACTGATGCTCAATGATTCAGTATTTCGGAAACAACTTCGGTACTTTATCATAGTGCGTTAAAAGCTCAAAACAAATGATATGCAGCGAAACGATGAGTCTTGAAGAAAAGAAGCAACGTACGCTGAGAACATGTATCAAGTACGCCCGATCACCGTCTACTAAAGAAAGCCTTGTTAGTGAAGGTTTCACTGAAGACAGGATGTGAAGTGACAGCGGAACGAAAGCCGCTACTTGCGGGAACATTACCGAGCCGAATCGATCAAGAGTGCATGGAAATGGCCCCACTTGTGAGGTCACGCTTGTCAGTATGACATCTCCAAGAGTTTTAGATAATAAACTGCTGCTTCACCATTTTCTGTATAATTCCGGTGGTTATGTCTAAATGGACAATGCTTACTTTACGGTTCCGAGGATAGTTATTATTAGGATAATAACTACGTGATAAGATCTTCAAAAAAGAGAACAACCCATCACCAAAATAGACTATTTTAGCGAGCCTCCACAGTGGGGGACAACGTTATCTTGCTGTGGTAAGATCATACCTGTAGAATATAGTTTATTACAAGGTTGATATTCCAGAGCATGCTAGGTACCAGTTTCTCACAAATTGCAGCGAATAGACCCCATCATTGATTCCAATAAGATTTTTACAATGTTTCTAGAACATCTTGAAAAACATTATCCTCGCCAAAAGGTCGAAATAACAGGTAGCTATTCAGCAAACGACCATGACTACACAAAGATCGACCAAGTTCACTATTTGGGTGACGGTATTTACTAGCCCCATATATCAACAGAAGCACACAAGATGAAGAACTTTACTGTACAGAAATCTGTTGCGAGTACAAACATATTAACGTTAGTCATGAGGCCATGGGGGAATGAGGGAATCTATCACATTCCACCAGAAATTCACGGAAAAGCTGGTAGTCAGTGAGCGAACATAGTGCCAACACCGAGGTGGGATGAACACCATTTCTCCAGGACCCAGAATCCCATGAAAACCTTGAGCCAATGCAAACTGTGGAAAGTTAGCCAGATCTGGATGTTCCACATCCACTTGGGAAGTATTGGATAACATTTTCTCCGGGTGTGGATACACGAGAGGCGTTTCGGAAGCTGTGAACAGAACCACATATTTATACCCGTTTACCTGGGTCAGTAAATTTGCTCGATCGCTGTCATGATGAAGCGGAGAAACGGTGTTCGCTGGACCGAACCACACATTAATGTCAACATCAGACACATCTGAGCTTTCATTCCCGCTAACCATACAGTAGTCTGGGGTGTGTACATCATAACCCAGTTCAGGGATCTGAAGGAAAAGCTGATGCTGAGCTAAATAGCCGATTGGTGGATTAGGAGTTTGGCTTTTTGTATCACACGAATCCGAACTCGTGGACACAAACTGATCAATAAATCGAGTGATGGACATCAGTTCTTGACCCCATGATTCGTCCGTGTATTTGCGGCCTATTTCGACAGGTACGATCCGGTAGCCAAAACATCGTCGCCAATAATTCACAGTCCAAGCATGCGGGCTACCCGATTGACAAGCCGGCCAGTGGGTCATAGCACCAGTAAGAATAAATGGCTGGCCGACCCTCATCAAAGCAAGAAATTTTTCCATACTCGGACGGAATACACGGTTCAAAGGACATAAATTGGGATTAACTGAAGGAAAACCAGCCATAGGACAAGCGATCATTGGGCTGTCCTCGTTTGGGAGACTATGTTCTCCATGCAAATTCGATAATCCTCTGTGCACAACTGCAGCCAATTCAGCTGCTAAACCCTCAAAAACGGGATGGCCCATGAGCAGACTGTAATCCAAATCTTCGAGAGCACGCTGTAGATACATAGACTGCATATCAGATGGAAAGGATGGCTTCAGCCGGGCGATGACATAAAGGGCACGTACCAAACGGACAGCAGCATACACAGTTCTCCAGCATAGAGGGACATCTTTCCAGTGTCCGGTGTGCAATTTCTCCCATACATACTCTAGGATAAAACGGCTCTGTTCACGGAATTCATCCACAGAGCATTCTTGGAATTCGTACTGAGTCAGAAGTTCACTGAAGTCCTCAAACACGAGGGGTCCAAGATCTGATTTGTATGGTGATAAGAGCTGGAGGAAGTCAGTGGGGGTGGGTGATGTTTGGCTGACGTCTGAAAACGACTGAAGAGAGCAAAAAAGGAGGGAATGATTGCAAAATACATAATAAAACGTACTAACCTAAGATACAGTCGGGCAACAAGAATTTTCATAAGATAGATGCTAACCTTAAAGGAAACATCCAATCGAGATTTTGCGTCCAGAAGACCCGTCGACTGCCAGAGATAGAAAACGGATGCATGTATGAGACCCACTGAAAATAGGCAATGATGCCAACAGCTATCGAACAGTTAATGTTCAGTACCGTGAGGAATTTCATGACTACCAATAAAGGTTGGTTGCCAGAAAAAATATGGCTCATAGAAAGAAAACTCAGTCGGCTTCTCTCTAGGTTTATCAGTCATCTCCCCTGAATTGTTCGAAAATCACAAACATCATTCGGTTGTGAACACTAGAAATATAGAGACAAAACTCCGTGAGCAATGCTGACTACTGGTTTAATAAAAGGATCTCAGTTCCCTAGTATATAAGGTATCGACAAGAAACAACCCCAATAATGAATACCGTAAAGAAGCCCACTCATGCATTTGTTCAGCTGTAGCACCCTTTCGGTGCCTAACTAACATGCCACCTGAAGGAAGCACGAGGACTGGGATACTGCCAGGTTGCCCAAGCCTAGACAGAGGAAGTCGAGAGACAGAGGTCGGATTCGAACCACGGACCTTGCAGTCAGTAAATTCGCGCTCTAACCACCGAGTAGTCTCGCCCCAGTTAGTGTATTACAAACGATTGATGTGTTTTATTTAGAGTGGAGAAAGCGAGGGTCAGAAGTGGAACTCAAACCAAAATCGGGATTGTTCTTCATGTGAGCATTTACCGAATAGTTCACATAATCCTACTGTAGCCCTCGACGTACAAAATCTGGTGGACTCTGACATTCACTGCAGACATGGGAGGGGAATCATCCAAGAAGAAATGGAGCCACCATTTTAAGAAAACTGTGTGAATTTAGAATCTGTAGTAAAATAGGCGGTTTTAATGAGACTCTATGAATCAAAACACAATAGGGCTATAACTCTGACTGAGACAGCAGACCAACAGCTCTCGAACCTTTCAATACATAATTTAGAAGTCCCCGAGGAATACCAAATATCTGAATCACATGAAGAGTGTAGAAACGAAACGTCTGACCGAAGAAAACCCATGCAAATATTCAGTAAGAATCATGGGCAACCATCGAATGCTAGAGACAAACATAACTTGCCGGCTTGAGGGCATCTGGCTAATGAAGTTTCATTGTGACACTAGCACAATTCACCCCTAGGTAGTTTATGCAGAATTATTGCGAAACAACCCTAGTAAGTGTGAATGAATCAGTAATATTCCGTGTAAGCTTACCGGTTTGCAATCTAATCATTAATTCTCTACGCCTATCACCATTAGTCCTTGAGTGCCGGAAGAGATTAGTACTAAAGAATGTTTCACTAAAAAAACACTAAATTACCTCTGCCCAAGTAAGTCTTGTCGTTGTGGGCAGCTACGACCGAAATGTCAGGATCCTGAGTACTCAGTGGGTATGTATCCAGCGTACGTTTGGAGCTGTCCCAGGAAGTGGTTGGTCATCACCCGGATGGGAAGTGTAGCACCTAAAGGAACATAAATCCTCCTTAGCTTGAAGAGCTTCCATTTGAGCTCGTAACCTTGTGTCGAACAGTCACTACAGAGCGCAGCACCTGGAGAATTCGCCTGGTGAAGAATAAGACACCAGGTCGACGGCGGTAACCCAAGGGAAATAGGTTGAACTCCTGAAGCCGTCGACCATAAAGTGAGCAGCGGAGGGGTTATAGGGCTTTAGGACCTCTTTGGGACCCTCGGGAGTTTACCCAGTTTCGACTCAGCCAAAACATGAAAACAGACCAACGAAAATGGGGCACAAATGAAGCATAAACGGAAAACTTAAAACCTCAAACGTCACCTCAACGGATGATCTTGTGGGACGTAACAGACCAGGACACATTACAGCGCTCATATTCTCGCTCGTTAGTCATTAAGTAGGCACCAACTAATATGGCAGAACCCAACCCAAAGATGTCACATTGTTGTGGTGGCCTGGCTGTGCTGCAAAGATCCTGTGGGGTATAGCGGATGGAACTCAGCTCCTAAAGTTCCAGCAATGCCAAAAAGCTGAACAAAGAACAGCCCGACAGCATGACATCATGGCACACGGTTTGTAGTCAATAAACTGAACTGATTGAAATGCTAGGGCATGTACAGCGGATGCCAGAAGACTGTCTGTCTCACAAACCTATTTTCGCCCGGCTCTGTTAGCATCATTATCATCATCATCATCGACAGCATGACATCAGTTTTCAACACCGATGCTTCACTGCTGTACAACCATGACTTATTTGAAAGCCTTACTGTAAAGAAAAGGGAAGGGACTTAGTCCTAGTTTACTACAAGCATTCCGAGGTGCCTACACCTCCAGACATTCACTCAGGCGATCTGGACAGAAACTGACAACACGAACGCCACTGACATCGGTTGGAAGCCACATCTTGTGGTGTCTCTAACCAGGCACGGTGAGGATCACGCGGTCCTCATCCTGGAAGGTGAGTAGCACCGACAGCACCCAAGAGTTTCGTGATCTCCTTCATACTCCTCCGCCAAGCCAAAGGGTGGCCACCTCTCTGAATTGGGCATGCAAAACAGCACTCTCTTCGGCAAACGATGGTTTGGCATACGCAACACATGATCCAACCAACGCAGCTTCTGATGCTGGACACATTCTTCAATGAAAGTACCCGTTACACAACCGAAAACACGCTTTCTAACTGCCTCGTTACGGATTCGCCGATACCAACCCACACGAGCTATGGTTCTGAGAAAACGATTGTCGAACACCTGAAG